GCTGCGAACCTGGCTGGGCCGCAGCTGGGGCGAGCTGGTGGGCCCGAGCTGGCGGTCCATGGGGCCTGGGTCGTTGGGGAGCGTTTGTAGAACGGAGCAGACGGTCCAAGTTCAGCGGGCGGGACGGGTGCCTCCTCGCTTGCCCGAACTTCGCCTCCCCCGCCCCCGCTCTGCTAAAGCTCCCACTCCACGTCCACACGGAGGACTTTTGCCTGGCCTTTAGCCAATCGCATCTTATCTTCGTAGGGGACTTGAAGTCCCTTCCAGCCGCCGCAGGGAAGGCATTTCCGTCTTAAACGGACTCCTCCCCACAGTCACGCGCAAGAAAGGAAAAAAACAAGGGAGAATTGGGAAATGAGGGAAAAGCAGAAAGCGCTTATCGTTTCTTGAAAATCATGCCTTCCTTGAAGACGGGCAGCTTGAGCTCATTCCTGTAGGCCCTTCAGCGCAGCCGTTGCCTGGAGGACGCGAAGCCTGGTCCGCAAAAAGGAGACGCACCCTGGAAGAGGTGTGACACAGTTCCCGGCAACAAGGGTTCAAGTACGGACATGACTGAAGATGGAGCAAGGGCCATGTTTCCGTCCGCTGTACAGAGGGTCCCCATGAACCCAGCCACCTCTGTCCCACCGAGCCACCACCATGCCCAGGGCACCCGCCTTTCTAATCTCTGCTCAGTCTCTCTCAGATCTCCTTGAATGCACCAAGCAAGATCTTATCACTTTAGGACCCTCCTCAGTATAGACCCTCTTTTCCCACAACCCTGTGCTATCAGACCTCTCTTTTAGCTTTATTGCGGGGGCAGGGTAGGGTAAAAAGTAGAAAATACAGTGGCTCAGCCTATTACTCTTTGATCATTGCTTTCACAAAGGAGAAACCGCCTTATTACCAGTTGTGGATTGAATAATTTATGGCTCCAGAAATTGTATCTTGTTAAGTCCAAGCTTTATACCTTTGATAAAGTAACCGTGGTGATGCAGTAGTTAAAACTCTTGGCTACTAGGCTGCTAACCACAAGGTTGATAGTTCTAACCCAACCAACAGTCACCACCACCACCAACCCCCCCACCACCACCACCACCACGCATGAGAAAGATGTAACAGCTTCCTTAACGATTTATAACCTTGGAACATCCATGCGGGGGCTTACTCTGTTCTCTGGGGTCACTAAAACTAGGAGTGGATGCCGTGGCTCTAGGTTTGTTTTGGGTTTCGGATATCCGTGGTTATCCATTGGAAATGGATTTTCTTTGTTGTTTTAAAGATACACTGTTAACATAGAGTTTGTTTTGAAGCAATATCTTGAGATGCAGAAGAATGGATTAAGCAAAGCAAGCACACATGATCACAGAAGAACTTGAGACTGGAAGTTGAGAGTCCAGGGCCTTCCTCTCAAGCAAAGAACTTTCTTCTAGAATTGGTGCCCCAAATTCAGACTTTTATACTCCTAAAATTGATGTCTGTGTATCAAAGCCACCCAGTTGTGGTATTTCTATTATAATTGCACTACATCACAAAGATACTGCCTGAACAAAGGATAGAGTGCATTAGATCTTAAATTCTGAGGATGAACACAATGGATGGATGGATTGTGATTAGAGTTGTACGAGCCCCCAATAAAATGATTAAAAAAAATTCTGTGCACAAGGTTTGCTTAAGGCCATGACATGACTTACTGTGGGACCTATAAATCCCTGTTGACTGTCTACATATATTCTGACCATGGACCTGCCTGGTGAAAAGCTCTGACCCTCCTCCCTTCCTCCCCCCCCTCCCCGCCCCCCCAGTGTGTTTGCAGCGACTCCCTACTCAGTTTCAGAGACTGACTTCTGCCTGGGCTAGCCTTTATGGAAATTGAGGTACCAAAGTCAAATGATTGTGAGTCATCTCCTAATCAAAATGGTCTGAACCAACCAGCCATTATTTATCCACAATAGTGTATCTCCATTATCGTATAGAAGGCTACAACTCTGACAAACACCTTTCCTGATTTTAAACTATCCAGTATGTATTCCCTTGTTCTGTTTACACAACTGCCTCTTAATCCCTGAGGAGGTTCTGCAGAAGCACAAGGGAGTGTTCTGGAATTCCCATTCTTCCCAAGGCTATCCACAGTTTGTTATGATTGTATTGTATACCCTCAAGCTTGCAAAGGTGGACCCTGTACTTTCCATTTGATGGTGCAGCTTTGATAGGTCATTTCCCACCTGGAGGCTTGCTCAATCAGAGACCGGAGGGAAGGGAAGCAGACAGTAGCAGAGGGTCTTTGTAGCTGAGCACTAAGGGAAGTCGACTGTTTTCCATTTCATTTAAATCTCGCTGCACATGCCCAAACATTGCTTACCGTCTTACTAGAGGAGAGTTCCGCGGAAGAACAGCCTTGCTCTGTTCAGAGCTCCGCATCACTCTAGGACACTTGCTTTGCCCTTTTGCTATTTGGACAGGACTCAGAAGATAAGCAGAAACGTAACTTGGAAAATCCCCAAAAGATGGCTTGATATGATGTGAAAAGCATGGGTGTGGACATCCAAATCTTGGTTCAGTTACTTGCAGAGAGTAACCCTGAGCAAAGTAACTTCTCTCCGTCAGCTCTGAGTTGCTATGGCGATGATGCGAGTAACCCAAATATACCTGACATATAATTATGACTCAATTAATGGCAATTCCTCTACCTGTCTTTACTCTCATTCCATTCAAATCTTCAAAAGGAGAATTTATATGTTTAACTTCTTGATTGGCACCCCAAATGTTTCTGCTTTCCCCACCTAGCTATACTTTATCTGGGGTGTCCCTGGGGAGATTGGCAGCTGAAAGTCATACCTATATCACCGTGGCTGCATCATTTTATTTGAAGTAAATTCCCGGCCCATCAGACAACAGAACCAGAATGAGGCAAAACACACCCTCTGGGTTTTGCTGTGACTACTCGCCTTCACTGCTAAAACAGAAATACCTCAATTCAACGGCTTTAGCAAAAAGATTGATTTTCTGTTGGTGGCGTTGCTAGGGGCCAGTTCTAACTCAGGGCGGCCCTGTGCACAACTGAAGGAAACACTGCCAGGGCCTGTGCCAGCCTCACCGTTGATCTTAGGTGTGAGGCCACTGCTGATGCCACCAAGTCCCTCTGGCTGCTGGAGAGTCTTCCTCTTTCTCACTGCCCCACTGTGGTAACAAGCGGGAATCCAGGGTGCCAGCTGTGGAGAAAGCTTCTCCTGTTGGCTCTGGATGAAGGGCCTTCTTGGTGTCTTCTGAGCTGAGCGTCTGCTTCTGGGCTTGGCATCTTCATGTGGCTTGGCATCTTTCTCCCCCCAGGACAACTCGCTCACTTGTTTCATCCCTTTCATATCTCACAAAAGATTGATTTAAAGGCCCGCCTTTCACTAATGCTGTCTCATTATCGTAACAAAGAAAGTTCATTCCCCAATGGCATTATGAACACAGGTTAGGATTTACAACACCCTTTTTAAATTTTTTTGGAATGGGGGGCGGGTATAATTTAATCCCAAAGTGACTTTCATTGAACTCTGTCTCCTCCTCAGTAAAATGGGTAGAGTATTACCAACCCTATCTGTCTCTGGTGGTTGTGCCTTGGCCTGTGATCCATCCACAAGTCAGCAATTTGAAACCCCCAGCCCCTCCACGAGAAAAGGACGGACAGACGGTCTACTCCCATACAGAGTCAGTCTCGGAAACCTGCAGGGGCAGTTCTACCCTGTCCTGTAGGGTCACCGTGAGTCGGCTGTGAGAGTTATCTGCTTTAGAGTTCTTGTAGTCTAATTAAAGGGATCATGTTTATGAACTATTT